TTACCGCACTTGGTATTACAATTTGCCGCAGTTTGTTACAATTTGCCGAACCTGTGTTTCAATAAACATAATAGAAATTGAAACAAAATCGCTTTTTTTATTTATTTAAACATGCTGGAGCTTGGAATTGATCATGTTAAGGTCCAACAATCACTGGAACTTGAATTCAGTTTGAAAAAGGAAGGATTAGGAGATGTTATTACAATTTTTCGCACTTGGTATTACAATTTGCCGCAGTTTGTTACAATTTTCCGAACCTGTGTTTCAATAAACATAATAGAAATTGAAACAAAATCGCTTTTTTTATTTATTTAATCATGCTGGAGGTTGGAATTGATCTTGTTAAGTTCCAACAAACACTGGAACTTGAATTCACTTTGAAATTGGAAGGATTAGGAGATGTTATTACAATTTACCGCACTTGGTATTACAATTTGCCGCAGTTTGTTACAATTTGCCGAACCTGTGTTTCAATAAACATAATAGAAATTGAAACAAAATCGTGTTTTTAATTTTCTTAAACATGCTGGAGGTTGGAATTGATCTTGCTAAGATCAACAAACACTGAAACTTGAATTCAGATTGAAATCGGAAGGATTAGGAGATGTTATTACAATTTACCGCACTTGGTATTACAATTTGCCGCAGTTTGTTACAATTTGCCGCACCTGTGTTTTAATAGAAATGATAGAAATTGAAACAAAATCGCTTTCTTTTTATTTTCTTAAACATGCTGGAGGTTGGAATTGATCTTGTTAAGTTCCAACAAACACTGGAACTTGAATTCACTTTGAAATTGGAAGGATTAGGAGATGTTATTACAATTTACCGCACTTGGTATTACAATTTGCCGCAGTTTGTTACAATTTGCCGAACCTGTGTTTCAATAAACATAATAGAAATTGAAACAAAATCGTGTTTTTAATTTTCTTAAACATGCTGGAGGTTGGAATTGATCTTGCTAAGATCAACAAACACTGAAACTTGAATTCAGATTGAAATCGGAAGGATTAGGAGATGTTATTACAATTTACCGCACTTGGTATTACAATTTGCCGCAGTTTGTTACAATTTGCCGCATCTGTGTTTTAATAGAAATGATAGAAATTGAAACAAAATCGCTTTCTTTTTATTTTCTTAAACATGCTGGAGGTTGGAATTGATCTTGCTAAGATCAACAAACACTGGAACTTGAATTCAGATTGAAATCGGAAGGATTAGGAGATGTTATTACAATTTACCGCACTTGGTATTACAATTTGCCGCAGTTTGTTACAATTTGCCGAACCTGTGGTTCAATAAACATAATAGAAATTGAAACAAAATCGCTTTTTATTTATTTATTTAAGCATGCTGGAGGTTGGAATTGATCATGTTAAGGTCCAACAAACACTGGAACTTGAATTCAGTTTGAAAAAGGAAGGATTAGGAGATGTTATTACAATTTACCGCAGTTTGTTACCATTTGCCGCAGTTTGTTACAATTTTCCGAACCTGTGTTTCAATAAACATAATAGAAATTGAAACAAAATCGCTTTTTTTATTTATTTAAACATGCTGGAGGTTGGAATTGATCATGTTAAGGTCCAACAATCACTGGAACTTGAATTCAGTTTGAAAAAGGAAGGATTAGGAGATGTTATTACAATTTGCCGCAGTTTGTTACAATTTGCCGAACCTGTGTTTCAATAAACATAATAGAAATTGAAACAAAATCGCTTTTTTTATTTATTTAAACATGCTGGAGGTTGGAATTGATCATGTTAAGGTCCAACAATCACTGGAACTTGAATTCAGTTTGAAAAAGGAAGGATTAGGAGATGTTATTACAATTTACCGCACTTGGTATTACAATTTGCCGCAGTTTGTTACAATTTGCCGAACCGTGTTTCAATAAACATAATAGAAATTGAAACAAAATCGCTTTCTTTTTATTTTCTTAAACATGCTGGAGGTTGGAATTGATCTTGTTAAGTTCCAACAAACACTGGAACTTGAATTCACTTTGAAATTGGAAGGATTAGGAGATGTTATTACAATTTACCGCACTTGGTATTACAATTTGCCGCAGTTTGTTACAATTTGCCGAACCTGTGTTTCAATAAACATAATAGAAATTGAAACAAAATCGTGTTTTTAATTTTCTTAAACATGCTGGAGGTTGGAATTGATCTTGCTAAGATCAACAAACACTGAAACTTGAATTCAGATTGAAATCGGAAGGATTAGGAGATGTTATTACAATTTACCGCACTTGGTATTACAATTTGCCGCAGTTTGTTACAATTTGCCGCACCTGTGTTTTAATAGAAATGATAGAAATTGAAACAAAATCGCTTTCTTTTTATTTTCTTAAACATGCTGGAGGTTGGAATTGATCTTGCTAAGATCAACAAACACTGGAACTTGAATTCAGATTGAAATCGGAAGGATTAGGAGATGTTATTACAATTTACCGCACTTGGTATTACAATTTGCCGCAGTTTGTTACAATTTGCCGAACCTGTGGTTCAATAAACATAATAGAAATTGAAACAAAATCGCTTTTTATTTATTTATTTAAGCATGCTGGAGGTTGGAATTGATCATGTTAAGGTCCAACAAACACTGGAACTTGAATTCAGTTTGAAAAAGGAAGGATTAGGAGATGTTATTACAATTTACCGCAGTTTGTTACCATTTGCCGCAGTTTGTTACAATTTTCCGAACCTGTGTTTCAATAAACATAATAGAAATTGAAACAAAATCGCTTTTTTTATTTATTTAAACATGCTGGAGGTTGGAATTGATCATGTTAAGGTCCAACAATCACTGGAACTTGAATTCAGTTTGAAAAAGGAAGGATTAGGAGATGTTATTACAATTTGCCGCAGTTTGTTACAATTTGCCGAACCTGTGTTTCAATAAACATAATAGAAATTGAAACAAAATCGCTTTTTTTATTTATTTAAACATGCTGGAGGTTGGAATTGATCATGTTAAGGTCCAACAATCACTGGAACTTGAATTCAGTTTGAAAAAGGAAGGATTAGGAGATGTTATTACAATTTACCGCACTTGGTATTACAATTTGCCGCAGTTTGTTACAATTTGCCGAACCGTGTTTCAATAAACATAATAGAAATTGAAACAAAATCGCTTTTTTTATTTATTTAATCATGCTGGAGGTTGGAATTGATCTTGTTAAGTTCCAACAAACACTGGAACTTGAATTCACTTTGAAATTGGAAGGATTAGGAGATGTTATTACAATTTACCGCACTTGGTATTACAATTTGCCGCAGTTTGTTACAATTTGCCGAACCTGTGTTTCAATAAACATAATAGAAATTGAAACAAAATCGTGTTTTTAATTTTCTTAAACATGCCGGAGGTTGGAATTGATCTTGCTAAGATCAACAAACACTGAAACTTGAATTCAGATTGAAATCGGAAGGATTAGGAGATGTTATTACAATTTACCGCACTTGGTATTACAATTTGCCGCAGTTTGTTACGATTTGCCGAACCTGTGTTTCAATAGAAATGATAGAAATTGAAACAAAATCGCTTTTTTTAATTTTCTTAAACATGCTGGAGCTTGGAATTGATCTTGTTAAGTTCCAACAAACACTGGAACTTGAACTCAGTTTGAAATAGGAAGGATTAGGAGATGTTATTACACTTTACCGCACTTGGTATTACAATTTGCCGCAGTTTGTTACGATTTGCCGAACCTGTGTTTCAATAGAAATGATAGAAATTGAAACAAAATCGCTTTTTTTAATTTTCTTAAACATGCTGGAGGTTGGAATTGATCTTGTTAAGTTCCAACAAACACTGGAACTTGAACTCAGTTTGAAATAGGAAGGATTAGGAGATGTTATTACACTTTACCGCACTTGGTATTACAATTTGCCGCAGTTTGTTATTATTTGCCGCACCTGTGTTTCAATAGAAATGATAGAAATTGAAACAAAATCGTTTTTTTAATTTTCTTAAATATGCTGGAGGTTGGAATTGATCATGCTAAGGTCCAACATACACTGGAACTTGAATTCAGTTTGAAATCGGAAGGATTAGGAGATGTTATTACAATTTACCGCACTTGGTATTACAATTTGCCGCAGTTTGTTACAATTTGCCGAACCTGTGTTTCAATAAACATGATACAAATTGAAACAAAATCGCTTTTTTTTAATTTCCTTCTTAAACATGCTGGAGGTTGGAATTGTTCATGGAATTTGAATTTGGTTCATAGTAAATGCAAATATCCAGAATTTAATGTTCATTAGTCTATATCAATCAATCATTTCAAAGTCCGGAATGTGATTTCCAAACATTACTTACTTACTTACTTAATTTGAAGATTTAACGTGCGCTTTCCGACTGATGCGTATTTCGCACACGGGATTTCCAAACAGCTTGGTCGCACATGTTATACTTCATGCAAGTTTCTTTGTATATTTGCAAATCAATAATCTTTATTACAATTTACCGCAGTGGTTATTACAATTTGCCGCAGTTTTTGTTACAATTTACCGCAGTGAAGTTATTACAATTTACCGCAGTGGTTATTACAATTTACCGCAGTTTTATTACAATTTACCGCAGTTTAAGTTATCACAATTTGCCGCAGTTTTTATTACAATTTACCGCAGTGAAGTTATTACAATTTACCGCAGTATATATTACAATTTACCGCAGTATTACATTTTACCGCAGTGTTATTACATTTTACCGCAGTTTATTACAATTTACCGCGTTATTACAATTTACGTCGTAACAGATGGCATTAGACCTTCTCCCTCGCTTACAATGCTAAGGCACTGTGGAGGTAAAAATATCGGAAAAATCATATCTTACGAAGTGTTCAAGGGAAATATTGGTTTTACCAATATTCAAATATTTAAATATCCCTGACAATGCGTGGAAATATTCACTATTGCAATATTTAGATTCTCTAAATACTGCCCTCCTTTGGATTAAAGTATGTATACATTTTTTTTCACATGTTTCTGTTTCTCGGAGACGAGTCGTTAGTGTCAAAAGTAAGTTGCCCCCATATCGGCTGTGGTCGTGCCAAACCTTGCCTCTCAAGACAGGCTCCATTTCCCGTTATGATATCTTTATTCTGATGGCTATTTACAGTCACCATCAATTTGTCATAGATGTCTTGATACAGTTGTGGAATAAGAGTTTTCCCATGACGTGGTAGCCTTGATAATGTATCTAGGAGTACTTTAATATTGTGTTTGTATTTCATGTCTCCTATGTTCTTAAGTTCTTAAACCTGTCAAATCAAAGATGAAATTATATGCATACATTATTATTCTCGTACGTTAGTTCTCAAACCTAACAATATTTATTTGTCTTGAATGCATTTGGCCTAAATCTTCTTTTATTTTCAGATATAAAAATCTCCGGTCCCAGTTACGTGGAGAAAGGAAATGCATTGCGCCTTGTGTGTAACGCCACAGGAGTTGGGTATCCCCCCGATCGCATTGATTGGTTCAAGGACGGTCACAAGATCACTCAGGATGACCGACTTCATATTCAGATCGTTATGTCTATCGTGGAGAGAACCATAATAAGCTCGTTGTATATCAAGAGAGCCAAGATGACCGATGCTGGGACGTATGTTTGCAGAACATCGGATCTTCAGATTACAAGCACCAAAGTCTTTATTCTCAATAGTAAGTTGCCCCCATATCGGCTGTAGTCGTGCCAAACCTTGCCTCTCAAGGCAGGTGCCACTTCAGTTGTTGATCATGTTCATTTTGATGACCATAATTACCCTGTCAACATCATGCTTGTTATACATTTGTAATGCCAACTGACGATCTAACGTTAAGGTTTCGTTCACAGGGATCTAATTTTCGTTGCATTATTTTCACATACTTTCATTGAAATGCACATTTTCATTTTCATTTCATGGCTTTATCACGTTCACAGTTTGTTACATTTATGTCGTTATTCTCCCACATGATTAACCCAATAAGACATGATGACAATACGAGGAGCCACTCCTTGATACCCCCGAATATTACTGGAAGCTAGGCCTTGCAATCAACACTGAAGGTATTCCAGAGAGACAGAGCTGTCAAACGCTACACGGAGCTTTGAGGCATGGCTTGGTACAGCATCGTCAGGCTGTCTTGGAAAGCTGAGTGTACTTTTCTAATCACCATCCCCTTGATCCATCACCGCCAAAGTTCATCCGCCACTTCAACGTTCACCGCCCTACTCACCTTCCCTTGACCCACCACCGTCAATGTTCATTCCCCTCACAATCCCTATGAAACACCATCGTCAACGTTCACCACCCTCCTCACCATCCCCTTGACCAACAAGCGTCAATGTTCACTCCCCTCACAATCCCTATAATCTACCACCGTCAACGTTCAACACTCTCCTCACCATCCCTTGACCCGCCACCGTCAACGTTCACCACCCTCCTCACCATCCCCTTGACCAACAAGCGTCAATGTTCACTCCCCTCACAATCCCTATAATCTACCACCATCAACGTTCAACACTCTCCTCACAATCCCTTGACCCACCACCGTCAATGTACACCCTCCTCCTCACCATCCCTTGACCCACCAACATCAACGTTCACCACCCTCTTCACCATCCCCTTGACCCACAAGCGTCAATGTTCACTCCCCTCACAATTCTTTTATCTACCACAATCAACGCTCACCGACCTCCTCACAATCCGTATGATCAAGGGGCAATAGACGTCCATCTAAGTGTTGTGTGGACGTTGTCACGGTCAGGGGTCGTCCACAAGGGGCAATAGATGTCAACGTTCACCGCCCTCCTCACCATACATTGATATGGCACCGTCAACGTTCAACACCCACCCCACCATCCCTTGACCAACCAACGTCAACGTTCACAACCCTCCTCACCATCCTTTTGACCCGCCTCCGTCAACGTTCACCGCCCTCCTCACAATCTCTTGACCCACCACCGTCAACGTTCAACACCCTCCCCACCATCCCTTGACCCGCCAACGTCAATGTTCACCGCCCTCCTCACCATCCCTTGACCCGCCACCGTCAACGTTCAACACCCTCCCCACCATCCCTTGACCCGCCACCGTCAATGTTCACCGCCCTCCTCACCATCCCTTGACCCGCCACCGTCAACGTTCAACACCTCCCCATCATCCCTTGACCCACCACTGTCAACGTTCACCGCCCACCTCACCATACATTGATCTGCCACCTTCAATGTTAACCGACCTCCTCACAATAGCTATGATCCACCACCGCCAACGCTCATCACCCTCCTCACAATCGCTATGATCCACCAACGTCAACGTTCACCACCCTCCCCACCATCCCTTGACCCGCCTCCGTCAACGTTCACCGCCCTCCTCACCATCCCCTTGACCCGCCACCTTCAATGTTAACCACCCTCCTCACAATCGCTATGATCTACCACAGTCGACGTTCAACACTCTCCTCACCATCCCTCGACCCGCCACCGTCAACGTTCACCACCCTCCTCACCATCCCCTTGACCCGCCACCGTCAACGTTCACTCCCCTCACAACCCCTATAATCTACCACCATCAACGTTCAACACTCTCCTCACCATCCCTTGACCCACCAACGTCAACGTTCACCGCCCTCCTCACCATCCCTTGATCCACCACCCTCAATGTACACCACCCTCCTCACCATCCCTTGATCCACCACCGTCAATGTACACCGCCCTCACAGGACAGACATGTTTTCCGCCTGGTCAAAGGACGTTTCATTAGACAAGACACTTTTCACATTAGCTGCGCTATAGAGGCTTATAAATCTGAAAATCCATGTAAGGCGTTAATTTAACTCGCAGAAGACCCGTACATTCTATTTCAGTACACAACCGGTCTGAGGTTTATTTCACAACAAACACAAAGTGGAAATAAACATTTTATAAGAAATCTAACAAAATACACAGATTTTCTTATATAACATTTCCGCATTAATATGTGTTTAGGTGAGAACTTGACTTGTCTTTGCACGTGTTTGTGAGGGCCGGGTCAGGAAACGCTTACCTTTTCGCGAACACCTGGTATAATCATTAATTGATAGGGATTCATCAGCACATGCTTATGATATAGTCGGAATCTTACATTGGAAAGGATTGCATAGCTTGTTTAATTGATATGGGGGAATTTAACAGTGTCAAGGAGTACTACACTTGTAAACAGATGAAAGATCAACTTCATGGCAATTGGAAATAGACGTTACAGGTTGGACCTGAAACTATTTCAAAACGTAGCCAATACTTCATAACGACTAGGGGGCCACTGTCAATGTTCACTCCCCTCCTCACAATCCCTATGAAACACCATCGTCAACGTTCACCGCCCTCCTAACCATCCATTGACCCACCACCATCAACGTTCACCACCCTCCTCACAATCCCCTTGACCCACAACCGTCAATGTTCACCACCCTCCTCACCATCCCCTTGACCCACAACCGTCAATGTTCACTCTCCTCACAATCCCTATAATCTACCATCATCAACGTTCAGCACTCTCCTCGCAATCCCTTGACCCGCCACCGTCAATGTACACCACCCTCCTCACCATCCCTTGATCCACCACCGTCAATGTACACCACCCTCCTCACCATCCCTTGATCCACCACCGTCAATGTACACCACCCTCCTCACCATCCCTTGATCCACCACCGTCAATGTACACCACCCTCCTCACCATCCCTTGATCCACCACCGTCAATGTACACCACCCTCCTCACCATCCCTTGACCCGCCACCGTCAATGTACACCACCCTCCTCACCATCCCTTGACCCACCACCATCAACGCTCACCGACCTCCTCACAATCCCTATGCTCCACCACCATCAACGCTCACCGACCTCCTCACAATTCGTATGATTAAGGGTCAATAGACGTCCACCTAGGTGTTGTGTGGACGTTGTCACGGTCAGGGGTCGTCCACAAGGGGCAATAGATGTCCACCTAAGTGTTGTGTGGACGTTCTCGTGGTCAGGGGTCGTCCACAAGGGGCAATAGATTTCCACCTAAGTGTTGTGTGGACGTTCTCGTGGTCAGGGGTCGTCCACAAGGGGCAATAGATTTCCACCTAGGTGTTGTGTGGACGTTGTCACGGTCAGGGGTCGTCCACAAGGGGCAATAGACGTCCACCTAGGTGTTGTGTGGACGTTGTCGTGGTCAGGGGTCGTCCACAAGGGGCTATAGACGTCCATCTAAGTGTTGTATTGACGTTGTCAAGGTCAGGGGTCGTCCACAAGGGGCAATAGATGTCCACCTAAGTGTCAACCAGGAAAGACATAGCAAAACGGCTGATGACATGTGTGTCGGAGAACACCACTGAAAATTGAGTGCATCTCTTTTCTACTAATTTTCGAATTCAGTTTCTTTCAGAGATGACGAGGAAACAGGGACCATAACTCATCATACGTACAGCATCACTCATCTCACCTATCCTATCGTAACCATGGAAGGGACAAACGTCACGTTCTTGTGTTCCACGCTGCCATGGTTACAGGTTCATTCCATGTGAAAAATAAACAGTTTGAAATGAAACATGTTCATCTTCTGTCATGATTCTATTACAAATTCCTCCACCACAGAATATGGCAGAAAACTCCAATGCATGTCCTGGGACATGTGATCTCTGTATCGGGACATGAGTGTCCCCATGAAGATCCAGGTTAGAAATGGTCTTCAGCAACCCATACTTGTCAACAGAGGTAACTAACGTGATCGGATTGTCATGCTGGATGCCTTGGTTGAAGCATGTCATCGTTTCGACTGGCTAACGTCTGAGACCTGCATCACTTCGGGCTTTCCTCCAACATTAAGCTGACGCGCCGCGATATAACTGCAACACTGTTAAAAGCGGCGCTTAACCCAACTCACTCACTCACTCGTATCGATGGTCTAGCTCAGATCTGATATGGCTGGAATATTGCTGAGTGTGGCGTAGCACAACACAGGACAGACATGTTTTACGCCTGGTCAAAGGACGTTTCATAAGATAAGAGACTTTTCACATTAGCTGCGCTATAGAGGCTTATAAATCTGAAAATCCATGTATGGCGTTAATTTAACTCGCAGAAGACCTGTACATTCTATTTCAGTACACAACCAGTCTGAGGTTTATTTCACAACAAACACAAAGTGGAAATAAACATTTTATAAGAAATCTAACAAAATACACAGGTTTTCTTATATAACATTTCCGCATTAATATGTGTTTAGGTGAGAATTTGACTTGTCTTTGCACGTGTTTGTGAGGGGTGGGTCAGGAAACGCTTACCTTTCCGCGAACACCTGGTATAATCATTAATTGATAGGGATTCATCAGCACATGCTTATGATATAGTCGGAATCTTACATTGGAAAGGATTGCATAGCTTGTATAATTGTTATGAGGGAATTTAAAAGTGTCACTGGAAATGAACGTTACAGGTTGGACCTGAAACTATTTCAAAACGTGGCCAATACTTCATAACGACTAGGGGGCACGGGTGGCTCAGTCGTCTATGGCGCCGCGATTCGCTGTGAAGAGTTGCGTCCCTTGGGCACGCCAGAACCCTATGATTGTGGGTTCGAATCCCGGTTTGCCCCGATTATGTTTCTAGGTTTGTCAGAACCATACCCGTGCTCGTGGGTTTCACCGAAGTAGTAAACGTCTGAGACCTGCATCACTTCGGGCTTTCCTCCAACATTAGGCTGAGACGCCGCGATATAACTGGAATACTGTTAAAAGTGGCGTTAAACCCATCTCACTCACTCACTCATACAGACTATGGGATATACCGGTGTGGTCTTCATTGTCTCACCTACATGTAAACCGTGTCATCAGAATAAAGGTAACGTTATTTTTCAGGGCAGTATCAGTTGCAGGAAAGTATGACAGTTGTTATACACACGAAGTACACGACAGAGGTCGGCGGGACACTTGCCTGGAATCACGTCAGTAACAAAACAAATACATCACTATGAAGCGCGTAACGACATTCGACCTCGGTCATTGATTTCCCCACCATCGGAGGGAAACAAAAGTGTGAGCTACTCGACCGTAAATAAACAGAATAATGAGTATTTAATATCTGATTCCACTTGGCCTTAAAGGCTCAATAATAATAGAGATTATATCAAGATAAATCACTGAAAATCATGGATTACACCAGGTGTTCCCCAAAAGAGTAAACATGCAAATAATAAGGCAAAGTATAAGGCTACTGTCAAAACGTAGCACTTGACTTGAGTCGATAGGGACGTACCAATACGATAACTGCATATGGCATGGCACATAAACATAAAAACATACTGTCATAAATTGAATGAAAAACATAATGTGCTATTAACGGAATTAGCATTACATGAACACAGGTGACGCATGGATATTTCTGGAAACTAATAAGGACTAAGGGACCGACCATTTTAACTGTATTAATATTTTCAAGGCATTATTGCATGCAATGCTCTCTGAAAGTAGGTCCCAAACCTTTCAGTTTAGGCCACGATACGTTCAGAAAATCGATCTTGTGCAGCAAATAATATTTTGAGTTTTGTAAACTCGAGAACAAATGTTTGGAGAGTTTTTTTGGTCCAACATTTACAGGGAGCGATTATTCATTCAAAGGAAAACCATCAACCTACGAATATGAAACGGACGGTCCCTTAAGCAACTATAGTGTAATTCACAATAACAACAAATGTAAAAAATAATGTGTAAATATTAAAGTTAAGTTATGATTTGTAAAAATAGTTATTTCAAAGCATCGGTGATGAAAATCGTGAAACAGAAAAATAATCTTCGTTCAGCAAATAAATATACTATTCAAAAGAAGTGAGAGAACACCCGGTGTTTTCAAATGATTATATTCTTCCATAGCCATGACAGATTAGTTATGGGTATATGAACAAATTGGGTGTTCTTTAACTTCTTTTGAGTAGTATATGTGGAATGTAGGAACACTTAATATGAGTGGTTATTTGCTATGAAACATGTTCATCTTCTGTCATGATTCTATTACAAATTCCTCCATCACAGAATATGACAGAAAACTCCAATGCATGTCCTGGGACATGTGATCTCTGTATAAGGACGTTTAGGTGAGAAGTTGACTTGTCTTTGCACGTGTTTGTGAGGGGTGGGTTAGGAAACGCTTACTTTTTCACGAACACCTGGTAAAATCATTAATTGATAGGGATTCATCAGCACATGCTTATGATATAGTCGGAATCTTACATTGGAAAGGATTGCGTACCTTGTATAATTGATATGGAGGAATTTAACAGTGTCAAGGAGTACTACACTTGTAAACAGATGAAAGATCAACTTCATGGTGACTGGAAATGGACGTTACAGGTTGGACCTGAAACTATTTCAAAACGTGGCCAATACTTCATAACGACTAGGGGGCACGGGTGGCTCAGTCGTCTAAGGCGACGCGATTCGCTGTGCAGAGTTGCGTCCCTTGGGCACGCCAGAAATCTATGATTGTGGGTTCGAATCCCGGTTCGCCCCGATTATGTTTCTAGGTTTGTCAGCACCATACCCGTGCTCGTGGGTTTCACCGAAGTGGTAAACATCTGAGACCTGCATCACTTCGGGCTTTCCTCCAACATTAAGCTGACACGCCGCGATATAACTGGAATACTGTTAAAAGTGGCGTTAAACCCAACTCACTCACTCACTCATACAGACTATGGGATATACCGGTGTGGTCTTCTTTGTCTCACCTACATATAAACCGTGTCATCAGAATAAAGGTAACGTTATTTTTCAGGGCAGTATCAGTTGCAGGAAAGTGTGACAGTTGTTATACACACGAAGTACACGACAGAGGTCGGCGGGACACTTGCCTGGAATCACGTCAGTAACAAAACAAATACATCACTATGAAGCGCGTAACGACATTCGACCTCGGTCATTGATTTCCCCACCATCGGAGGGAAACAAAAGTGTGAGCTACTCGACCGTAAATAAACAGAATAATGAGTATTTAATATCTGATTCCACTGGGCGTAAAAGGCTCAATAATAATAGAGATTATATCAAGATAAATCACTGAAAATCATGGATTACACCAGGTGTTCCTTAAAAGAGTAAACATGCAAATAATAAGGCAAAGTATAAGGCTACTGTCAAAACGTAGCACTTGACTTGAGTCGATAGGGACGTACCAATACGATAACTGCATATGGCATGGCACATAAACATAAAAACATACTGTCATAAATTGAATGAAAAACATAATGTGCTATTAACGGAATTAGCATTACATGAACACAGGTGACGCATGGATATTTCTGGAAACTAATAAGGACTTAGGGACCGACCATTTTAACTGTATTAATATTTTCAAGGCATTATTGCATGCAATGCTCTCGGAAAGTAGGTCCCAAACCTTTCAGTTTAGGCCACGATACGTTCAGAACATCGATCTTGTGCAGCAAATAATATTTTGAGTTTTGTAAAATCGGGAACAAATGTTTGGATAGTGTTTTGGTCCAACATTTACAGGGAGCGATTATTCATTCAAAGGAAAACCATCACTCTACGAATATGAAACGGACGGTCCCTTAAGCAACTATAGTGTAATTCACAATAACAACAAATGTAAAAAATAATGTGTAAATATTATAGTTAAGTTATGATTTGTAAAAATAGTTATTTCAAAGCATCGGTGATGAAAATCGTGAAACAGAAAAATAATCTTCGTTCAGCAAATAAATATACTAATCAAAAGAAGTTAAAGAACACCCGATGTATTCAAATGACTATATTCTGCCATAGCCATGACACATTAGTTATGGGCATATGAACAAATTGGGTGTTCTTTAACTTCTTTTGAGTAGTATATGTGGAATGTAGGAACACTTAATATGAGTGGTTATTTGCTTGTAAAAAGAATTTAGGGAGCACTGATAATTTGACGGCATGGTTTACAATCAGCTGTTTCTGTGTCACAGACGCCAGTAGAGCGAGGAGACGCCAGTAGAGAGGGGAGACGCCAGTAGAGCGAGGAGACGCCAGTAATGAGGGGAGACGCCAGTAGTGAGGGGAGACGCCAGTAATGAGGAGAGACGCCAGTAGAGCGAGGAGACGCCAGTAGTGAGGGGAGACGCCAGTAATGAGGAGAGACGCCAGTAGAGCGAGGAGACGCCAGTAGAGCGAGGAGACGCCAGTAGTGAGGGGAGACACCAGTAGTTAGGGGAGACGCCAGTAGTGAGGGGAGACGCCAGTAATGAGGGGAGACGCCAGTAATGAGGAGAGACGCCAGTAGAGCGAGGAGACGCCAGTAGAGCGAGGAGACGCCAGTAGTGAGGGGAGACACCAGTAGTGAGGGGAGACGCCAGTAGTCAGGGGAGACGCCAGTAGTCAGGGGAGACGCCAGTAGTCAGGGGAGACGCCAGTAGTGAGGGGAACTGAGCAGCCTGCCATCAACACATGGGAAAGCTGGAGTAACACATGTCTCACTGTTCCGTCTCACAGGAGTGAGTCAGACACTTGCCAACTGAAGTGTACGAGCAACATCAGGATGTAACCACACAGGAAGCTGAACACAGCCATCCCCGCATGTGTGGGAGATATAACCACATAATGTATTCAAGGTGATGGAGTAGGTCAGTAATATTGTTCCCTACATTGCAGTGAGTGAAATACTAGTACATGACAAGAAAAACAGCATATAACATCAGAAAAAAATCGTTTTTGTACAATTATAAAATAACATCATGAACAGCATGTTTGTAACTATGAAATATCACGAGCATGTTGCCCAAACCCCCTATCACCCCTATCTTGTCGAGGGGACGGGCAGACAGCAATCTTGGTGTTGAATAAACCCACAGTTTAAGTAAGGTTGAATGTTCATGGTCATGATGCAACTCCTCTGTCCACTTTTCCTTCCACAGCTTGTATAATCAACTCTGGGGCACTTTGTACAAAATACATTAAACGATCGTTTGTTAACTTCAATATTCAAAAACCCATCTTCTGTTAGCAAAGCTAGCTATCACCAAACTTTCTCCGACATCTGGCTTCCCCCTGAACATTCCATTGAAACATGTTGGAGAACATTTTACATAATTGTCACTGTACACTTGTTAATGTAACATGCCACCGGCAATATATCAGCCATAGAGCAGCTGTAAGACTGAGGAAGTAATCCATAATGTAAGATGTTCTGTGCGAATTATTGAAAAGTGTTCTTGGGATTACATGATCATCAATATAATAATGGACATAATACACATTAAATCTACTCACAAAGTGGTGCGAGGTAATCACAATTATAAGAAGTCAATCAAGGGTGCTTGCATGGTAAATCGGAAAGTATCCAGTCTGGGGTTTTCGGACTTTCCAAGTATCAAGGTAGTCTCAGCTTCATCTGGAATTGGTTCAGTGTCTCAGAGAGAGCCAAGATAATCCTCCTTTCGTTTCTGCAGTAGAGTGGCCCTCTGGTACAGTAGTTGTTGCTCCTGATCTATCAGCCTAAGCTGTAACATGGCGATCAAAACTAGTTCTAAAATGTGGCAACATCAACTTTATTCAGATATCAGAACTAAAACAAGCGAAGTTGTATATATGGAAACATGATACGAGTTCACGAATAGGACTGAGGTCTTAAGTAGATGATAGATAATGACAACAGGATGAAGTAAACATTTATGGGTGAATCATAGATATACAATAATATTTTATTGGAGGTACTCACCTGCTGCGGATTGAGGTGGTTCCTTGGATGGGTTTTCAGTTGCTGAATCTGCTTCAGTTTCTCGCGGATAGAAATAAGAAGATCTACGTCCTTATGAAGGGCTGGTTGTGCATCTCTGGTGTTCAGCATCGAGGTGTCATGGAGTACCACGTTATGTACAGGGGTGACAGCTCCAAGGGTTGATTCTGTTTGTATGTCGCATGCCTTTGGACCTGACCAACCAAACCCAATCACGAAACTAACCTGTTTGTTTCGGAGAGATGGTCGTGTTTCTCTTGTGAACAGGGGTATGGTGAGAGGCAGTTTGTTGCCGCTTGACGTTTTCAGTTGTATTTTGACATCCCACCCGTTTCCTGACAGCATACCTTCAAACCTTTGTAACAGAAGCCGATTTTCTCTACTACTTAAAATACTCTGTAGTTTGTAATTGTGAAATGTTTTGTGGAAACTCCTCAACTGATCAAAATGTTCAACACTTCTAATGTCATCATTTTTTGTGAGAAAGAAGAATGGCCTCTCATTCCGATGCGGATGTCTTTGTTGTTGCTTGGGATACTTTCTGTCATATGCATCCTTCCATTTGGTCAATGCGCCAACAAGAGTAACTGGTTTGACAAGCTGAGGATGTTTCCTGTTTGGTGTTGGCCAATGTAGCAACAGCAGGTAAAGGTAGGGCTCAAGGTCGATGTATTTGTCTTCATGGTTCATTTTGTAAAGACGATTGCTAGCCTCCAACAAAAGAGAAAATGAAGGCAGATCTGAGATGTGAGGTACCTGAAGCAGGGCCAGTGCTGAACCAATTGCAATGCGGCAATCAAATGGCAGAGGCTTTGACAGATTCATTTCTGTCAAACCATATATGGTCAACAACTTGTCTCTTGAATTTTCGTCTTTCAGCAGCTGAAGTATGTGTTGCAGAGAGTAAACACCAAAATTTCGAACTTGTCGCCGGCGTTTATCTGATGTTAATTGATCTGCTCCACACAAAGTGGGAGCATCTTCATCACCAAAGTACCCGCTGATTGTTTGTCTCAATCTGTCAATATTTCTCCTCTGAAAGAAGAGGGTATTCCGAGATTGGGCACCATTGAAATCTGACCTGTGCTTGTTAGCCTCGTCATCCAGTTTTCTCAGTGTTGTGAAGACATTTTTCTGAAGGGATGTCAGCCACTGACGTTGTTTATCTGTCAATACATCGACCTCTTCAGGTATTGACAATGATCCTTGTAGAAACATCCGAAGATTGGCTTTATCCTTGAAATCAGGAATGAGGGACAGTGTGTCAAGGAGGGAGCTGCATATCTCAACCTGTCCAAAATAACCAGCTGTGTTAGGATCGGTGGTGTTTTGCATGCTGCTCAGCTCTTGGACCTTGATAAATATTTCTGTGCCTTCATAAGCATATTTTACAGCTTCTTGCATTAGTTTCTTAGTGTCTTCGGGATCCGTTGCTAATCCTTTCTCAAACACTTTAGAAAGCCTGACTTTGAAGATCTGGCCATGAGTGTCCAACAGATAAGAGTTGTTTGGTTGTCTACCTGTAGCTTCAGATGCATATTCTATAGCCTTCTCCCAGTTCTCACATACAATGTACAGACGTGCCAACTGCTGAGCGATAAAGTTGTCCCAGGTTTTGTCAAAAGTTGTCGCTAGGATCTCTGCAGCTGCGTCAACATCCTTTGAGTCATAAAGCTCCTGAATCAACCGTGAAAACGTTGATGGCTTACCAGATGCAGTTGGTTCCCTCACTTTCATAATTTCCCTCAAGATTTTGAAAAGCTCTTTGGATGCCTCATCATACCGGTAATTGCAAGATTCTGAGTTTAGAAATTCTAGCATAACATCACTGAGTATCTGCTCATCCACTTTCATGAGAATAGTTAGAATCCACTTACAAAGTAATGGATTTATGATACGCAGAGATGTTGGCTGGGCTTTTGTGTGTGCTATTAGCATCTTTAATGGAGTGGTTAAACATTTCTCCCATCTCTGACCTGTGATGTGCTTTCTATCTGACATCAGGAGGTCAAAGCAAGGAATGCGCACACCTCGGAAATGCAGGTCATATGCATTCAGGAGTGCTACATATTTCAGCAGAGACCTCTCTTGTCGAGACTTTATGCCCTGTATGATCTCCCGTACAGTGTTTTCAATGTACTGTTCACTGAAATTTTCCTTCATAATATTCAGTGACAAAAGATTCTTTGGATTGGGTCCTTTCTGTTTTTTGAAGCTCTCTGTTAGTTCAAGGTATTTTGACTGAAACCAGTTCTTTTCTTCTGGGCTCAATTCTTGAGTCAACATAAACAAAACGTTTCCTCTATCTCTAGGAGGACATGTCTGTCGGTGACATATGAGCAAGACGCATAAAACACCAGGATTTCCTTGGAAGAGATTACTTGCTTCAGCTTGTAGCAACTCCATCAGTGTTAGGAGTGTCTCTTCTTCAAGATTATCTATCATCACAAGTACTGGACTGGCTTTCTGTACCCTGTGCTGACACAGGGATACAATTTGTTTGTGGGATTCCTTGGAGTATTTCTGAAGAATGCAACACCTATACCTTTCCTTCATATCCCACAGGATTCCTTTTGCTGATGTGGTGCCACCAGAACCTGGTTGGTGATGCATTGTAACTAGTCCAACATTTACATTATCGGGAACAGATCCATCCAGCGTTTGCTTCACTTCATCCAGAATTCTATCATGAATCTTCCGTTTAAGAACATGAGCGGAGTAGAAATTTACCCATGATGGCCTTCATAGAATTGTTTTTCTGCCTCCTTTTGGATTTTCGTCTTTTCGTCTTCCTCCACAGTTTCCAACTCACTACATTCAGTTGCACTTAATATCTCAAGATCACACATTTCATTCTTCATGTTCTTAGGGAGTGCCGTAAATGTACCACTGCTTGTGACCAACTGACATTCAGCTCTTGTCATTGGGTCATCTGGACCTGTTATCGCTTTCATACATGTGTTGACCTCTTCCCACTTGAATCCAGTCACACATCAATTCTTCAGAGATGTTTTGTCCTCAACCTGTCTGATATACAGCTGATCCTTCCAGTGTGCAGCTACAGAATCCGTCTCTGCCAGCATCATCCACTGATTTTGGAATTTTTGGTTTATCTCTTCCGCTGCTTCGAGCATAACATCATATTCTTTGGACACCAGAAGGTAAACTATCATAGCTCTGTCCCTTGGTAAACAATGATAAAAGTATCTCACTGCTTCTTTAAATCCTTCACTTCTCTTTCTCTTCCATTCCAAAACTCCAAGATCTTGTTTTTCCATAGGCTCATAGCCATTGCAGAAAATCCACGGTTTAAGATGCGATGATTCCATGTCTTCATTTAGTTTTTCATCTCTGGATTTTGTTTGAGGATGTTCCCTTTCACTCTGGTCAAAATCATCTGTAAGCATAACCTTAAAAACCATTTTCTGTTTTTTTTCAAGGTATTCATAGATACCCCCGCTGTGTCCTGTGGGATCAAAATCAAAGATGCACTTCCACTCGAAGTCAGCGATGAAGGAAAAGCGATTGTGTATGTCCTTTAGTGACAGGCTTTTGTCAAGTGGACTGATCACAAGAACAGGATATATATCGCCCATCTGCGTGTCGCCATCACAGAGGAACATCCGGAGTTGTTGAAGCAAATTCATGCCTTGTGCTGTTTTTGCTGCATACTTTTCCTCAGCTTCTTTCCTTTGTTCATCAAGTGTTGACTTTATTTTCATGAACTGTGCAATATCAATACCCTCTTCACTAGGAGCACCCAATTTCAACCTGAACAGTTTTTGTCTTGAACCTTTTTCGCGTGGCTTCATGTACTGATCCTGTATGAAATACGCTTGATCCTTAACAAGACATGCTTTGGGTTCAATATCAATCTCAAGAACATAGCCACAGCATTCCTTGTTGTCAATGACATCTACATATTTCGCAGGATGGATGCATGCAGATGCAACATCATGCTGATCTGGAGGAAAGCACTTCTGTATTGATTCTGCAATAGTGTCTTCACAATCCTTCCGTTCCAGTGTTACACCCAATACTTCTCCATGTGAGTGACTGTCATCTGATCCATCATAGACTCCAAAGTGTACAGTCCCATTTGTTCGATCATTCATACAGGATGATGCAAATTTCATAGTTTCCCATCCAACTGTTTCAAGAGCAGAGTCTACATCTAAACCAACAAGTGCGATACAGTGGTGGGTTGGGTCGATCTTGTTGCCAGGACGTGTCTGTAGGTTTTCAAGAATCTTCCCTTTCTTGTACTTCTCTGTGCAGCCTGTTTTGGTGTCAAACTTTCTTGCATATTCTCTTTCTCGTAGACTATGCTCTTCCGTGGCATCTTCATGTGATTCTGTCTGTGGCTTGCCACACTGAATGTATTCATCCCTTTCCAGGATGATGGTCTTTCTTTCTCCAAATGGTAATTCTGGGAATAACTCTTTCATATCCGTTTTATCCAACTTGAGAAATACACGGCCGGTGATTTTCTGCACTTTCATTTGTGTGAGGACGTCGTCAGTAATATTGTTTTTCTTGAGTAGTGGGGTCAGAAACTCACAAAGCTGGTCTATGTCTAGGTTTCGGATGTGATCCACTTGTCTTCCTTTGCTTGACTCCGTTGCTGGAAAGAGAATGAAAACTAAAAAGAAGCCACACTATATATGTTATCATGGGACTGTTTGAGTAGTTTACTAATTTGTGAAAAAGAATAAACAGGAATAAGGAAAAATTGCAAATGCGAAAGCTGCACAAACAGTTCACTAACATCAACCCATTACAATTGGCACTTCATACCCATAACTATTAAAATTAAAGCTCTAGTTAAGGACAAGTATTACGCACCCAGTAACCGTTGTTTCTATTCTAACATAGCAATTTGAACAAAACTCGGGTATTCCTAACAATGATGTAACATGTACACCATTTCAGAATAGATGATGACTTGAAGAGTTCCGGATTGAAGCGTTGCTGACAACCCTTCGGATGACCGTGGACAAAATTATTCATTAGAGGCATCAGAAGACTGAAGACTGAGCCTTCCCAGCAGAAACTTCCAATGACGTTAAACATTCTGCTAGAAATATACAGAGAACTAGCGTGTTGTTTTGGAAGGCATTTTGGTGTGTGTGCCTTGTAGCATTCTTCTGCTTCCTAAGAAAGTCAACTCTTCCACCACAATCTCAGTCCAATAAGAAGCACTGCCTCTGATGTGTCAAAACAATCGGCAGCAATCGTAGTACGACAATCCAGTTCGGACAGCGGTAAGAACACATATGAAGAATAGACGTAGGAAGACTTCGTGTTTATGCTAAAATTGCCCATAAAAATACATCATAAAATATTTGATCAAGTCTGGTTAGGTGTATAACAAGATATAGTATACAATTTGCCTCTTAGATTGTTTGAGATCGTATATAAGGTTTGAAATATGAAAATAATTTGAATTGACCTACCTGCCGCTTTGTGCCACCTTCCTGGTGATTTCAGCATGTCCGCCAAATGAGGTTGGGTGCGCCTCAGCTGGGACAGAAAGACAGCATAGACATCATCTTCTTGCAGTTCCTTGGTCTGGAGTATGTCTAGCAGTCTCCTTGCTTTGTCTTTGCGTGTTGTTTCATGCATGATTCGTTCCTTGTCATCTTCAGTGAATACATGGTACTCGTATAGGTGATGGACCAAGTCTTCCGCCTCCAGCTCTTCATGGAGGTCGCTCTGCTTCTCTTTGATCTTATTCCAGTCGGACATACGCATTGTCCTACATTAAAACATGTGTACCTATTTAGTACCAGCAAGAATATACATCTAAGCCTCTCCATTTAAGCAGGTTTGGTAATAAAAACATTATACAGACAGAATCCACTTTTATGTCACTTTTACTTCGATGTTTGCTTGTTTGTTTGTTGTTTAACGCCTCACTCAGCAATATTCCAGCTATATGACGGCGATCTGTAAAATAATCGAGTCAATCCAGTCCAGACAATCCAGTGATTAATATCATGAGCATCGATCCACGCAATTGGGATCGATGACATGAATCGACCAGGTCAGCGAATCTGACCACCCGATCCCGTTCGTCGCCTCTTACGACAAGCATAGTCACCTATTACGGCAAGAATGGGTTGCTGAAGACCTATTCTACCCTGTATCTTCAAGGGTTTTACTTCGACATTAAGGGGCATCGATTAAGGGGCCTAGTGATTTTAAGGTGCTGAGTTATCTTGTTCAAAGCAGCGCCCCTTAGACAGGATCTGCTGTTCGTCGGTTCGAATCGCAGGTTATGTTTTCTGGGTTTTTGTTGTGCTTTACCTTGGTTTCCCCACTTTGGTTTTTTTGTCTAAATAATAATTACAATTAATAATTGTATTACAGTGTATATGATTCGGCCGCAATTTCAGTCTATATAATCAAGAATGTCCTCAAACTTGGAAACTATGCAGATCAACTGTGGTAATTATACTCTTCAAAACAAGAAACGCAATACGGATATATTTGGCCATAAAAGCAAAATTAGCGGACCAAGAGGTGCAAAATGATGTGGTTTAATGTGTTATAGTGTCAGTGACAATTTCCCGGATCAAAATGATCACAACAAGGACATGCAAACCATTAGTTGGGAAACACGTGCGATTCGGAAAAACGCACCCAGAGCATTAACAAAAGGGCCATGGAGCTGCAAGCACTGCACGTACAGCATGACTATGAACGCTATGAAAGTGCAGGGTTTTTTATTGCTTGTCATGTGCGTCATCAGTGACAGTTCAACAACATGCCAAGATTAACAACGTCAAAGGCCGCTTGCAGACAGGGGAATCCCGAGCAGCTGTAGCCTGGGTTTTCAATGTAGCACCCAGCACCGTCACAAGGCTATGTGATCGGGTTTAACAGCATGGGTCAACACGTAAACGGCCAAGGTCGGGCCGACCAAGAGTAACCACCCCCGCCCAAGAGTGCTACATCCGACTGCGCCACCTACGTGAAAGGACGACCACAGCCATCTCAACCGCATCCCAAATACCAGAACTGCGCAGAATCTCGGGCCAGACCGTACAGCAGCAGGTCTACGAGCAAGACGTCTAGTTCGATGCGTCATCATATTTAGTCGACAATATCGTCAACAACGACTGCATTAGTATGGCCCCAAATGCGATGGAGAGTTGTCTGGTTAAGCGACGAATCAAGATTTCTTCTCCGTCGAGGGGATGGAAGAGCATGGGTTTACAGACGTCGGGGAGAACGTTACGCCGGAAACTGCGTACAGGAAGTGGACAGGTTTGGTGGTGTAGCGTTATGGCCTCATCATGGCAGGACAGGTTTGGTCCATATCCAGGACAATCTTACGGCTCAATGATACATCAACGAAATTTCCCTACCACACGTCCTCCCAATTGCAGCAAACGGCAACGGTGTAATCCAGCAGGACAACGCTCGACCGCACACAGCACGGATCACAAGAGCCTATCAACACAGCAACAACGTTGATGTTCTCCCCTGGCCCCCCAGATCCCCGCATTTGAACCCGATAGAGCACCTGTGGAATTAATTGGAAAGACGGATACGCCGACGTCAACCCCAACCCAATACGTTTCAGCAGTATGCTTTTGCGTTGCAGGCCGAGAGGGCTACCATTCCCCAGGATGTGATTCGCATACTTGTCTCTTCCATGGGCAGGAGATACCAGGCCGCTCTCGATTCCTACAGGGGACATACGCGTTATTGATGGTAGCTGACCTTCACCTTGGACTTTTCCTATGAACTGATGAATGAGATGACCTAATCACCAAGTGTTCTCTCCACAACATTTTGGCTCAATACCTTGAACGGTTCCTCGGTTCCTCGTATAAATGTATTTTTCGTCTTTGCGTTTCTTTTCTGAAGAGTATATGACAGTTCTGTGTGGCTGTTGTTTTCCAACACCAGCATAATAGATTGTGTTAACATTGACAATAACAACTGAGGAATGCGTACATGTTTTAATGCTGAAAACAGGATAACTGATATTAACTTCCTCATATGACATGATCAAATTCAACTTCCTTGTGACACTATTCTTCAGCAAATGTTATCCTGAAAGGTTTTTCTTCTATTTCCAAAATTCATAGATTAAATAATCTACAAGGATATATATATATCATCTCTAAAGGTGATCGAGATGATAGTGGGTGGGTGTTTTTCGCAGATACAGCAGTATAACAGGGAACACCAGAAATGAGTTTCACGCATTGGACCCATGTAACGAGTCGAACCCCGGGTCTTTATTCACTGTCCCATGACAAAACTAAGCCAGACACGTTTCAACATGTATATACTAGTATATCCTTGCACATTGGGATTCTATGACATCACTATTAGTGTCTTTACCATTTGTACTGGTATTTCGATGTTTTAAATTGCGTTTATACTCAACAAACGTATCCATAACAACATGCGGACCACAATCAGCAAGTGGGCCTTTGTTCACATACACATAGTGAATAGCACCTGGCCATATTGTCTGCTATTGTATGGTGTGTGACGTGGCAAGTTTATAACCAACAACATGTTTACGTTCAACGGACCTGTTCAACCAGTTATAAATAGATAGACTATTGAGAGTCTATTCAGGTCAAACCCACCCCGAGTAATAGCTGTCGGAACATGATTTGCCTCGGTCCAGCCCGATTATTCCGTGTATACACACGTACATGCACCTAGTGAGAATTGTCGCATGTCAAGTGTTTGAGAAATGTTTGGACTGGGGACACCACGGATATCATCGAACAAGTCGACCTCTGGTTTGTTTGTGTGTTGTTTAACGCAGCACTCGGCAATATTCCAGCTATATGAAGGTGGTCCGTAAATAATCGAGTCTGGACAAAACAATCCAGTGATTGACACCATGAGCATCGGGCCACGCAATTGGGATACGATTGGTTGGGTGGTTTGTTGTTTAACGCCGCACTCAGCAATATATTCCAGCTATAAGACGGCGGTCTGTAAATAATCGAGTCTGGACAAGACAAACCAGTGACTGACACCATGAGCATCGGGCCACGCAATTGGGATACGATTGGTTGGGTGGTTTAGTGTTTAACGCCGCACTCAGCAATATATTCCAGCTATAAGACGGCGGTCTGTAAATAATCGAGTCTGGACCAGACAATCCAGTGATTGACACCATGAGCATCGGGCCACGCAATTGGGATACGATTGGTTGGGTGGTTTGTTGTTAAACGCCGCACTCAGCAATATATTCCAGCTATAAGACGGCGGTCTGTAAATAATCGAGTCTGGACCAGACAATCCAGTGATTGACACCATGAGCATCGGGCCACGCAATTGGGATACGATTGGTTGGGTGGTTTGTTGTTTAACGCCGCACTCAGCAATATATTCCAGCTATAAGACGGCGGTCTGTAAATAATCGAGTCTGGACCAGACAATCCAGTGATTGACACCATGAGCATCGGGCCACAAAATTGGGATACGATTGGTTGGGTGGTTTGTTGTTTAACGCCGCACTCAGCAATATTCCAGCTGTAAGACGGCGGTCTGGACCAGGCAATCCAGTGATTGACACCATGAGCATCGGGCCACGCAATTGGGATACGATTGGTTGGGTGGTTTGTTGTTTAACGCCGCACTCAGCAATATATTCCAGCTATAAGACGGCGGTCTGTAAATAATCGAGTCTGGACCAGACAATCCAGTGATTGACACCATGGTCATCGGGCCACAAAATTGGGATACGATTGGTTGGGTGGTTTGTTGTTTAACGCCGCACTCAGCAATATTCCAGCTCTATGACGGCGATCTGTAAATAATCGAGTCTGGACCAGACAATCCAGTGATTAATAACATGAGCATCAACCCACGCAATTTGGATCGATGACATGCATCAACCAAGTCAGCGAGTCTGACCACCCGATCCCGTTAGTCGCCTCTTACGACAAGCATAGTCGCCTTTTAAGGCAAGAGAGGGTTGCTGAAGACCTATTCTACCCCGGATCTTCACGGGTCCGTCCTCTGATATTCGGAGTGACACAGGCTATGCTCTCACTCTATATTTTGTCCATGAGAATAGTCATGACATACACGAAACTAGAGCCTAGAGGCCCTGCTTATGGTTTTGCATACAGAATCACTCAATGTACATTTACAAACAGTATCTTGCATACAGTAATAGCCTGTAGTGACTGCACCGGAGCTGTCGAGGGTGGTGTCTGATCAGTAATACAAATTGTGATCAGTACCACCCATTACAGCTAGTTGCGCAGATCGAAGAGTAAATGTGATATGTTTAAGTTTTCATAAATGTTTGCATACTTACGATTCCTAACTGTCTATCCTGCTACAAGTACTATCTAGTTATTACGTAATAGGCTTCCTCAATTGTGATCCGGCAGCCATCTTGTTGTAACAGGCGAGGCGGGATGAAAAAAGACTAAGTTGACTTCTCAGAAACAGGGGAATTCCCGGAATTACAGCGCATGCCTGGCTTGTACGCACTAACAATGGGTAATACATAGTAATGTGGTATTGCCTTTCTGTGACATGTCTGAAGTCTAAAACGCCATTTAAATGGCAGGGTACAGCATTGATTTCATTTTGAGCCACCATACACCCCCCTTAACGCAGTCTAAAGTGAACACGTCACGAGTTAAGATATTGTATGTGTTGTTTAACGCCGCACACAGCAATAGTCCATACACGTGAATGCGTGTGTTCCATACAGGGTTTCAGACCAAGGTCGTATCGGCCTATATGTACGGATAACAATATGCACGATACCGTGGAGGAGGATGTCGAAAACGCATCACATACGCATCACAGCATACATGTACAGTCTAACATTCATTTATAGACGTATTTCCCTAAAATATATTGTGCCGTACGTAAAAAATATCCCACAAATGTGCTCGCTTATGGTAATTATTTGAAATATATATAGTAAAGTTGCAACTAAAATAACACGATATTGGAATATATTATTACTTATAAAATAATAGTTTACGGTATAATTCTTCCGATCATTGCATCATAATTCTTTAGGTAATATCATTGGGTAATGTTTAACCCAATAAAAGTAAATTGGTGGAAATCGTGGGTGCACCTGACAGTTAGTTCAGGCTCAGTTTACGAGAAACTACACACAGTAAACTTAATCCCTGCATATAAATCAATGGATAGCAGAACTGGAAATACAACTTAAACAGTAAATCATCACGCCTAGTGATGTTTTATCTCAAATTTTAAATATGTATTGACCAAGTTTGTTATTATATTAACTGTTTACCTTACTGCTGAATGGTTACGATTAAAAAAAGAATTCTTCTCATTATACTCGATTATCGACATCACTGTCCCGGAACGCTTTATGCACAACATAATAAACAACAATTGCACAATGAGCGGAATACCTGCTCTGACAACACAAACACAGTGGTGAGCGGACCTTCCAGCTCAGGCATACAGACGTTTCCCACGAGAGGCACATCCTGCTCGAGGCCGTCCCTACACCAGCGCTCGGACTACCAAGCTTGACTACCACCCTAGTAACAGCGTAATGGTAGCACATATCTGGGGGGGGGGGGGGGGGGGGGGGGGTGATGAACCGACACAGCTCAGGGGATGAACAATTAAGACAATAAATGTCATACTATTAATAATAGTAATTAACGGGAAGTGATATAGCAGCCCAGGTTGGCTGTCAGTCAATATACAATAAAATGTTGGTGAGGATTAGCGCCTAAAACGTAATGAAAAATTAAGTTTTTGGAGACATGGCTACAGGGTAATTAGCCTTTGGAGTCAAATGTCAAATGGTAGTCAAATGGTAGTCGTAAATCAGTCGCTATAACAATACTATAGACATACATGTAAAACAACACAAAAGTCTTAACAATTGTTTATTGACCTGTCTGTTCGAGAGCACCAATGCTGTGGTGCATATCTAAAATCCATTCAGTACTCTAACTTACTCTAGTTTTGCCAGTATTTCTATATTAAAATAATAAGGAGTACGTACTCCTGATGCTGAAAATTATCTGCAGCCTCGGTCATGCATATCATCCCACAAGTTTAGCCTCGGGGTGACACTTTTCAATGTCTGCACAATGGAACTCATAGAATAACAGATCTAAGTCAAAGCTAATATCCTGTCGTCTGCAAAACCCGTAGACCTGGTGTGTTCCGGCCTGCGTCATAACTTGAACCTCCCGCCATCGCTCCAGCCAGCTGAGCGAACAAGAACAGATAAGTTTGTTTTCCTTCAAGTTGATTGCGGTCAGACGTCCGAGGTGGCAGACGACACTGTAGTTCAAAGTCTCGAGGGAGTTGTAGGCAAGGTTAATAAATCCAATATTACTTGAATTCACAAACGTTTGGGTTTCAATTTCAGTCAAATTGTTATTGTTCAGAAAAAGAAACTCCAGTTTCGGGAGATTGACGAACGTTCCATTCCGCATCTTGGTCATCCGGTTGTGAGAGATACTCATCATTGTCAGGGACTGGAGATCGGAGAAGGCTCCTGGCGCCAAGACACTGATGTTGTTGGAGTCAAGTCGGAGCTCGTGAAGATGCTGCAGACCACGAAAAGCAAACTGGTGGATGTTCGTCAGAGACGGGTTGTGCTGGATCTCGATTGTTATTGCATTGACTTTGGAGAAGGCGTCAGCAGGAATGGCGGTGAGGTTGTTGTAGGACAGTCTGACCTCATGATACATTTTAGGAGAAGGGGAGAAGGACGGTATCTGAAAAAAGTATTTCCAGACATGAGTTCCAGCTTGATATTCATTTCCAACATGAACATAGTCTAAATGTGTATCAGTCACATCCATAATGGACTTTGTTTGTTTGTTTGTTGTTTAACGTCGCACTCAATTTATTGATAGTTTGCATATTTGAGCACGTGTGTCCTATTCTGGACCATCTCCCGTGTTGGTGTCGTGAACCACCTGGACAATCAGCTTGCTGAAGTGTGGAAAGCGCACTGTAGCTTGGTTAGTTGGTTTGTTGTTTAACACCGCACTCAGCAATATTCCAGCTATATGACGGCGGTCTGTAAATAATCGAGTCTGGACCAGTCATTGACATCATGAGCATCGATCCACGCAATTGGGATCGATGACATGAATCAACAAAGTCAGCGAGCCTGACCACCCGATCCTGTTAGTCGCCTCTTACGACAAGCATAGTCGCCCTTTACGGTAAGCAAGGGTTGCTGAAAACCTTTTCTACCCCGGATCTTGACGGGTAATGATCTGTCTTATGTGGAATCCGATTAGAGAGTGACTTTAACGCAGGTTTAAAGCCGCTTTGAACAATATTACGTGTCAGCTAGACGTGGGAAGAAAATCCCTGAGTGGGAATTCTAATAGAAATATTTTTTTATCATTTTGTGACCTTCCATGTTTAGGAAACATCTCTTTTCATGCACATATGCAACAAGCTTACTTTGGTGAGGTTCTTCCCATCGCACCTGATGGCGTAGTCGTCGCACGTGCATGGTGGTGGCGCAGGGCAGGGGTCAGATGCAGACACCAGAAACCATGGCAACAAAACAAAACCCCAAACACTGAGGACCATTGCAAGTTTGACTGTTTACAACTCCAGATTCCAAATGTTTGTTCCCAGACAGATTATCAGCAGTTCCGACCCTCGCATGTAAGTGTCACCTGACAATGCAATCTAGAAGTCACACGACCGATCATTTGATATTCTGGTGATTGTGCGTGGGCGGTTTGCCTCAGATTTTATATTGGGATTATAAAAATATTAATAGTTCATTTCCTTGGCCCTGTTCCACAAAGCGATCATAGCGCTACGACTGTGGTAAGCCTGTGATAAAGTATGGGAGTTTCGATCATCTTAGCGCTACGACTGTGGTAAGCCGGTGATAAAGTATGGGAGTTTCGATCATCTTAGCGCTACGCTCGCTTTGTGGAACAGGGCCCTGGGTGTCGTTGTACAAAGCGATCATAGCGCTACGACTGTGGTAAGCCGGTGATAAAGTATGGGAGTTTCGATCATCTTAGCTACGACTGTCGTAAGCGGGTGATAAAGTATGGGAGTTTCGATCATCTTAGCGCTACGACTGTTGTAAGCCGGTGATAAAGTATGGGAGTTTCGATCATCTTAGCTACGACTGTCGTAAGCCGGTGATAAAGTATGGGAGTTTCGATCATCTTAGCGCTACGACTGTCGTAAGCCGGTGATAAAGTATGGGAATTTCGATCATCTTAGCGCTACGACTGTCGTAAGCCGGTGATAAAGTATGGGAGTTTCGATCATCTTAGCTACGACTGTGGTAAGCCTGTGATAAAGTATGGGAGTTTCGATCATCTTAGCGCTACGACTGTCGTAAGCCTGTGATAAAGTATGGGAGTTTCGATCATCTTAGCGCTACGACTGTCGTAAGCCTGTGATAAAGTATGGGAGTTTCGATCATCTTAGCGCTACGACTGTCGTAAGCCGGTGATAAAGTATGGGAGTTTCGATCATCTTAGCGCTACGACTGTCGTAAGCCTGTGATAAAGTATGGAAGTTTCGATCATCCTAGCGCTACGCTCGCTTTGTGGAACAAGGCCCTGGGTGCCGTTGTACAAGGCGATCATAGCGCTACGACTGTCGTAAGCCGGTGATAAAGTATGGGAGTTACGATCATCTTAGCGCTACGACTGTTGAGCCGGTGATAAAGTATATGAGTTTCGATCATCTTAGCGCTACGCTCGCTTTGTGGAACAGGGCCCTGGGTGCCGTTGTACATGGCGATCATAGCGCTATGACTGTCGTAAGCCGGTGATAAAGTATGGGAGTTACGATCATCTTAGCGCTACGACTGCTGTAAGCCGGTGATAAAGTATGGGAGTTTCGATCATCTTAGCGCTACGACTGTCGTAAGCTGGTGATAAAGTATGGGAGTTTTAATCATCTTAGCGCTACGACTGTCGTAAGCCGGTGATAAAGTATGGGAGTTTCGATCATCTTAGCGCTACGACTGTCGTAAGCCGGTGATAAAGTATGGGAGTTTCGATCATCTTAGCTACGACTGTCGTAAGCCGGTGATAAAGTATGGGAGTTTCGATCATCTTAGCGATACGACTGTCGTAAGCCGGTGATAAAGTATGGGAGTTTCGATCATCTTAGCGCTACGACTGTCGTAAGCCGGTGATAAAGTGTGGGAGTTTCGATCATCTTAGCGCTACGACTGTCGTAAGCCGGTGATAAAGTATGGGAGTTTCGATCATCTTAGCGCTACGACTGTCGTAAGCCGGTGATAAAGTATGGGAGTTTCGATCATCTTAGCTACGACTGTCGTAAGCCTGTGATAAAGTATGGGAGTTTCGATCATCTTAGCGCTACGCTCGCTTTGTGGAACAGGGCCCTGGGTGCCGTTGTACAAGGCGATCATAGCGCTACGACTGTCGTAAGCCGGTGATAAAGTATGGGAGTTTCGATCATCTTAGCGCTACGACTGTTGTAAGCCGGTGATAAAGTATGGGAGTTTCGATCATCTTAGCGCTACGACTGTCGTAAGCCGGTGATAAAGTATGGGAGTTTCGATCATCTTAGCTACGACTGTCGTAAGCCGGTGATAAAGTATGGGAGTTTCGATCATCTTAGCGCTACGACTGTCGTAAGCCGGTGATAAAGTATCGGAGTTTCGATCATCTTAGCTACGACTGTCGTAAGCCGGTGATAAAGTATGGGAGTTTCGATCATCTTAGCTACGACTGTTGTAAGCCGGTGATAAAGAATGGGAGTTTCGATCATCTTAGCGCTACGACTGTCGTAAGCCGGTGATATAGTATGGGAGTTTCGATCATCTTAGCTACGACTGTGGTAAGCCTGTGATAAAGTATGGGAGTTTCGATCATCTTAGCGCTACGACTGTCGTAAGCCGGTGATAAAGTATGGGAGTTTCGATCATCTTAGCGCTACGCTCGCTTTGTGGAACAGGGCCCTGGGTGCCGTTGTACAAGGCGATCATAGCGCTACGACTGTCGTAAGCCTGTGATAAAGTATGGGAGTTTCGATCATCTTAGCGCTACGACTGTTGTAAGCCGGTGATAAAGTATGGGAGTTTCGATCATCTTAGCGCTACGACTGTTGTAAGCCGGTGATAAAGTATGGGAGTTTCGATCATCTTAGCTACGACTGTCGTAAGCCGGTGATAAAGTATGGGAGTTTCGATCATCTTAGCGCTACGACTGTCGTAAGCCGGTGATAAAGTATGGGAGTTTCGATCATCTTAGCTACGACTGTCGTAAGCCGGTGATAAAGTATGGGAGTTTCGATCATCTTAGCTACGACTGTTGTAAGCCGGTGATAAAGTATGGGAGTTTCGATCATCTTAGCGCTACGACTGTCGTAAGCCGGTGATATAGTATGGGAGTTTCGATCATCTTAGCTACGACTGTGGTAAGCCTGTGATAAAGTATGGGAGTTTCGATCATCTTAGCGCTACGACTGTCGTAAGCCGGTGATAAAGTATGGGAGTTTCGATCATCTTAGCGCTACGCTCGCTTTGTGGAACAGGGCCCTGGGTGCCGTTGTACAAGGCGATCTTAACGCTAAGGTGATTGTAACTCACATACATTAACATAGACTCAAGACTGTCGTAGTGCTAAGGTTGTTTAGTACAACGGCACCCTGGTCATAAACAAAAATCCTATATCCAGCAGTCATAGCGATCACCAAATTCCAGTCTTCAATTCGTCTTCGGCGACATCCGTTTCCTGGGATGTATACAACACCAAGGCTGAACTTTCAGGAATCCATATCCCGTGGTGATAATAATATGGCCAAGATCTTCAAGTGCCTCCAGCTTTTTTACTAATGCACCGTACACATCATACATATGCTCTGTTTAGTGCACCTGAAGTTGTGTTCGATCTTACTGAAGTAAAATGTAAATCAGTCTCAGGCGAGTTCTGCGTTTGCAGACAATGTAGTTGACCAAAGAATTGCAGAAATATTGCGGAATTTGGCCTTTTTCATCAAACAATAGACTAATGTTCAATATGTTCAAGCTTTTCTTTCTAAATTTGCTCTCGAATGTCGCCAGAACATCTATCATGCGGTTCAATCATACAAAACATTAATCCTACAATATAAGAAAATTTGAAATAAATAATTCTCCTTTTCAAACGTTCTAGTGGAATTAGGACTAAATCAACTATGTTTACATCTAACCATTTAAATGAATAAAAATGAGTTTGTATTATTTTTTTCGGGGATATGGTTATGTTTTTCCCCACAGAATCCACAGGATTTAAAGCCCCTTAAACTCCGGTGTTTCGGTTTGGTTGGTTGTTTAACGCCGCACTCAGCAATACTCCAGCTATATGACGGCAGTCTGTAAATAATCGAGTCTGGACCAGACAATCCAGTGATTGACATCATGAGCATCGAGCCACGCAATTGGGATACAATAACATGCATGAACCAAGTCAGCGAGCCTGAGTACCCGATCCCGTTAGTCGCCTCTCACGACAAGCATAGTCGCCTGAGCATGGGTTGCGGAAGACCTATTCTACCCCGACCTTCACGGGTCGACATCATTGGTGACGTTTCACCTTCATTAATCCAGTGTTTTCTGAGATGTTGCATACAAAGAAATAATCCATTGTAAGATAATTGAGGAGCGAAGTGCAAACTATAAAATATCGTGAAAACAGAACGTCTGTATTGAGCCCCACAACCACCTATACAAATACCAAATTTCATTTCATATTTAACTAAAATGGCCATTGTTTTTTCAATTGGTACGCCCCGATTTGTCTGATTAAAAAACCTTTTGAACACATCTTTGGTGTGTACGAACGTGAGAAGTTACGACTGCAAGGGTCCAAAATCTTCTGGAGAGAGGAGTGTGCAGATGCAGCCGTGTGTCAGACAGACCAAGATAAGCTCACGTGATTGTCAAGTCAGACTTGTAATCATTATTCATTACAAAACCTATCCCATTCTCAGCATTCAAGCGAGTATCGCCCTGTTTGCTATCTGGTCCCTTATTCGGCACATCACGGTTGACCTTCAAGAGTTATCTTATCACAGATTGTCCTCAGTCAGGACTCAAGGTTATAGGTGTGTAAATACAATCTTAAAGAGTGTGAAGTCTTTGTAACTTATCTCTGCAGTAGAAGTTCGTTCAGCTTGCTTCGGGTGAAACGTTAAGTTTGTGTTGGGTGAATGAAGTTTCCTCGGAGACCAAACAGCCCACCCATCCCCACCCCCGACTACCACCCTACGCAGCAAGAGTACTTCTATGTGAGGCCAGTCTGTACGTTAGCAAGTCTTGCCAAGATATTGGTTGATAACATCATGGCCAGGTGTCTGTGCTGCGTGAGTATATGGAGGTAATAAAGTGAAGCGAGGTGAAATAGGAGTTAAACGTGTAAAATTAACGTGCCAGAAGAGGGTCTATCCACTAGTCCACATAGGCGGGCTCCGTGCAGACACTATCCATTAGGCAATGGAGGCATTCTCCGAGCAGATACTGGTGAGGTGTGGTGAGGTAAAATGGGGTTTAACGTCGCGTCCAAGATTATTGCACTTATATAGCGACGTGCATGCACGTGTATGTATGTGTGTGGATGCTTGTACTAGTCCGGACTGATGCCGATTTATAGTGCTAGCTCACTGAGATACCATGCCGCAGTTTAACATGAATACCCCAC